ATGAATTTTCTCATCACCAAACACTTGTTCTCTTCAATAATGTTGTTATTGTTGTCGTTGTTACCTTTCCTCGCCTTATCTCGAAATCTCCCTCCGACCACCACCGTACCCTCGCAGTACACCGAAGCTCCCGTGTACTTAAACGGGAAGCAATGCAGTAATCCCACGATCAACGGTCCACGCTCTTACTGCGACCCCTCGCTAGTCCACGTGGCCATGACCCTCGATTCCCGTTACTTAAGGGGATCTATAGCCTCCGTCCACTCGGTCCTCAAACACACGTCATGCCCCGAAAATGTGCGCTTCCATTTCATCACATCTCATTCGGCTTCATCCCAACTAGCCAAAGTCATGAAGTCCACATTTCCATATCTACCCTTCAAGATCCACCCTTTCAACAAGGGTAAAAAAGTCGAACACTTGATCTCGCACTCCATTCGCCCGGCCCTCGAGAACCCTCTAAACTACGCGAGAATCTACCTCGCCGAGATTCTCGACTCGTGCATCGCGCGAGTCGTGTACTTAGATTCCGACACGATCGTAGTCGACGACATTCGAAACCTTTGGTCGACTGAGTTAACTGGGTCAAGGGCAATAGGGGCGCCCGAGTATTGCCACGCGAACTTCACGAGCTACTTCAACGAAAACTTCTGGGCCGACCCGTTTTTATCAGGGGCGTTTCGCGGGAAAAAACCGTGTTATTTCAACACGGGAGTTATGGTCGTGGATTTGGAGAGATGGAGGGAAGGAGAGTACACGAGGAAAATCGAGGGGTGGATGGAAGTGCAGAAGCAGAGGAGGATATACGAGCTCGGGTCCTTGCCGCCTTTTTTGCTCGTTTTTGGTGGGGAAATAGAAGGGATTGATCATAGGTGGAACCAACATGGTCTAGGTGGGGATAATGTAGTGAATAGCTGCCGAAGCTTGCATCCGGGTCGGGTCAGTTTGCTGCATTGGAGCGGGAAAGGGAAGCCGTGGGTAAGGCTCGACGAGGGGAGGCCTTGCCCGGTGGATTATCTGTGGGTACCTTATGATCTGTATAGATTCAATAGATTTACAGAGTAGAGATGTCAAGTATATGAATTTTTACCAGATTCATAGTGATTCTTTTGTAGAAAAAAAAGAAAATACTGTAAAATAGACTTTTTTTTTTTCGCAAGTAATTGCTCTGGATTTTCTCATATACTGTGTTTATTTTTGTTATTTTGGGAAAATGTAATGAAAATTCGAATAAAAAAAAGCCCTACATGGCACGAACCACTTGTATAGTTTTAATATCAAACTGTTTCATATATATACTACTATTGTGTAGTTTCATTTGTTTAAATCTCAATCTTGTATTCACCACATGGGCCTATGTTGTATTACATATCTGCATGATATTGTCCTCAAAATGAACATCTATCAATCAAGCAGTGTATGAAGTATTATGTGTATGTTTGCTTGTAGAAGTAAATGAAAGGTTAAACTATCTACAACATCAACATTTGACATCAATAATCAAAGATAGCATATATCAAGAAACTAGAGAAGACTTGTCAATAAAGAAGACTTGAACCAAAAAGATCTCCCAAAACCACAACTTTCTGCCATTTTCCGTATCCTTTTCAAAAAGAAGCTAGAAACGAAAATGCCAACAAAAAAAAAAAGTGAAAAAGCGAAAGGAACTTCCGAAGAACGAACTTATCTCCAACACATTATCCAACTTCAAGAAAGCAAACACTAGACTTTACAGGTTTGCACATGGTAAAAGCCAACGCATTCCGGTAGCTCCATTTTCTCCATTACCTGCGTGACAAGGTTATAAATCAAAATCGTATTCTTCCTCATATCAGCGCAGAGTACCAACGACTCCAAATACTTAACCCACCCAAGAACTTTTACGGCCCCATCACAACTTGCAGAAGACTTGAATTCGCTCCTGTGTTCCTCTGACGAAAAATCCCCCCTCAATTTCCACTCAAAATTGCGCGTATCCAATTCCCAAAACTCCCAATAAAGCTCCCAACACCTACGCACTAACGTTAAACTCCTTCCCGTGGACAAATAAGTATTGCTAACATCCCCTCTCGGGCCCAAAGTGTAGTCGGGCCCTGGGCTTTCCGTGAAAACCTCCGTCTTCATATTCATACTCAATACATTCCCGTCATTCAGGAACCCTTCGGTAATCAGAGCACGACTAAATTCCGCTAACTTAGCTTCAAACTCCACGACTCTCCACGTCTCGTCATTTACTCCGACGGTTATTATATGAAACTCGTCCTTATCTTTGTTTTCATACCCATCGGGCGGAAAGAATAGAATCACTTTCCACACCTTGGAGAGCGGAGCAAACGTCACTCCCCACGACACCATTTGTGGCTTTACAGAACGATTGACGAGCGGAGGGAAATTAATCATATTTAGTCCACCTGTCGAGTGATGATGATGTAAGAAGAGGGAGACTTCCTTAAACAACCCTCCCGAAAACGCTAAACACATGTCCAAAGAAGAAGTCGAGGCCGCGCTCGTGCGTTGGGCCCTCGGCTTTGATGTCTCGACTCGGAAGTCTCGGGTGGTCATCGAGAACGCGGTTCGGCCGTTGTGAAGACGAGCGCGTACGTGTTGAGACTGCGGGCACGGCACCATCTGTGGCAAACGAGCCTAGCGTTGTAAATGTCGTGGGTTGGGATAAGGTCGAAGATTTTGGACAACAAGTCGTTTGATAGAACCATATTGATGTTATTGCCACCATTCATCTAGACATTTTTAGTTCAAGGAGAAGTTCAGTAAACATAAACAACATTATAGTAAAACTTTTTCAAAGGGTGAGCAACAAACCGAACCTACCAAAAAAGATAATAGTATAAACAATTTTCAACCAACAAGTACAAATAGATTTAGAAGGATAAACCAACAAGTATAAATAGATTTAAAATTTAATACTTTTTATTTAATAATAAAAAATATAATTATTGTATAGGATATTAATAAAGTAGAGAGAGAGAAAAATTAATTATGTACATATATGAATACTCTAGCCATCTTAATCCTGACATAATATTTATTTAAAATTGACTGAGCATAAATATACATGAAAAATTATTGGAAATTAGAAAAAAATAAAAATAAAAAGATGAAAAAATATTAAACAATATTTTTATAGTATTCAATATTCGGTCACGATCTAATGCATGTGGCTTATCATTAAAAAGGTTTGTATTTACTTAAAATAGAAACTAAAAACCCGACTAAAAATTTTAAAATTACTAAACTTGATATTTTTTGAAAAAAAATTTAAGAAAATCTCGCCTCTAGAAATTAATTAATCAATTTTTGGTCTAAAGTTGAAAAAATTAATAAATCCAATTTTGGTATAAAGTGGTCGATTTTATTTTAGATATATGATATACATTTTTATTTTTTGTAGGAAATATGTTGTTATTATTAAATGTCCGATTTTATGGTATAAAATGTGAGATTTTTTTGGTATAAAATGTCTGAATTTAAATGGTATAAATTTTATTTAGTATGGATATAAGTGTATTTGGAAATTTTGAATACAAAGTAAGTGGTATAATTTTTATTTGGTATGAGTATGAAAATCGAATTTTGCACAATTTCAATTCCATATAATATTTTTAATAAATTAGTATAGGTAAATTATATTATATATTTATTCCATATTTTTAATTTATCAACATTATTTACGAGATGATAAATTTGAATGTTAAGGTGACCGACAACAAATTAAGAAAATTTGCGAGTATATATATATGTGTGTGTGTGTGTGTGTGTGTGTGTGTGAGTGTGTGTGTGTGAGTATGTGTGTATGTATATATAAGGAAATTTATGTGTAGTCCAAATTTGAGTTTCAAATTTAAAAGTCAAATAAGTAAATATTCATAACTCACGGGTCAAGATTAACTTGGACTTAAATGGAATAGTCATTTATTTATATTTTAATAAATCACTCAATTACTTAAAATTTTTTATTTGGATAATTTATAAAAAATAAATTCATTTTAATTAATAACATAATATAAGTTTTATAATTAACTTATTATTTACAAAAAAATTAAAATATATGATAAAATTTTACCAAAATATTTATTTTATGGAATCACATTTTAGTCAAATCGAATTTCTGATAAAAAATTTTAAAATGACACTTATTTTGAAATAAATATAATGTAATTTATTATCAGTTACGAACACTGTACAAGTTGTGTACTAATTTAAAGAGACATGTTTTATATAATTTTGTACAATTTATATTTGATCCCAACTTGCTTGGGACTTAAAGGCTATGTTGTTGTTGTTGTTGTTGCACAATTTATATTTGATATAATTTTTTCAATAAATTAATATAGGTAAATTGTATTACATATTGATTCCATATTTTAATTTATAAAGATTATTTAATGAGTATTTTTTATTTATAAATTAATACACTAGTACAATACCCGTGTATTACATGGGTGTTAAATTAGAAAGCTTTTGTAAAGCATATTAAATTTTTTATTTTTTTTAAAACTAAAATAATTTAATTTTATATAAAACATTACTTTGGGTTTTAATTAAATTTTTAAATTATATTTTTTTAATCATAATAATTAAACACTCGTACATTAAATGAAAAATGTCAACCCATGTTGAATTTTTTTACTTATATCATATAAAAATATCGATATAATTTACTATTACATAAATACAAAAATATATATCTTAAATAAATAGAAATAATATGATGATATGTATATGCATAAGTGTAGATTATGTTTATTTAATATTAAACAAAATAGTTTCTTTTAAAATCGTTTGGGGCGATACTTATTTGTCGACAGGAAGGAGTTTAACGTTATTGCGTAGGTGTTGAGAGCTTTATTGGGAGGTTTGGGAAATGGATACACGCAATTTTGAGTGGAAAATGACGGGGGATTTTTTGTTAGAGGAACACAAGAGCGAATTCGAGTCTTCTGTAAGTAGTGGTGATGGGGCAGTAAAAATTCGTATCAACGTTCAAAATCTTATAGATATTATATCGAACCTGTTCTTCGTCGGAATTTGATCGGAGAATTTGTGCTTCTGTTTCTCCTCTCGTGACTGCCATAATTTATAATATAATCGTAATATTGTTTTCTCGTATATCGCACGGACGACGCACTAGTTTCAATCTAAACACATTCGAATAAAATTTGGGTTTCGATCTAAAATTGTCCTTAAAAGTTTATCTAATTTAAAACTTACGAGGCTACTATTGGTTAATTGAATTTCATTAGAACTACTTTTTTAATGAACTCTCATAGTTACGCAAGTGCTTTTGGAACTTTCCTTAAATGTACATACCGTCCATGAAGAATAAGTTCACCATCACAAAGAATGCTAAACTTTATTCATGTAGTTCTATTTTTCCAAAACTCTTGTATTCTATTGAATATGAGTGTCTTATAGTGTATGTATTGTAGCATGGTTCTCAAGAATTATGAGGTGTATATATTGTGTGTGTGTTTGGTTGTAGATGTGAATGATAAAATGAAAGGTTAATGACATTTTGACATAGAGAACCAAAAACAGCACACGTATATCACGAAACTTAGAAAGACTTATATGAATCAGTCTAAGAAAAAATGCCAACAAACAAAGTAAAATGAAATAACAAACTTGATTCAAAAACATATTTTGGCTTTCAAGAAACCAAACTCAAAATGGTGGCGAGAGTACAAAATACTAGCTAGCTACATGCTTGGAGAAATCAAACACCCCGACTTTATGGGTTTCTATATTCTAACAACCAACATTGATCGGTAGCTCGATTTTCTTCATTTCCTGCGTGACGAGATTGTAGATTCTAATTAATCCCATTCCCGACCATACTAATTAACCCATCCAACCGGGATTATATCCACATCGCCACAACATGTAGATTCAAATTCGTTCTGCCTTATCCTCCAAACGAGCGGTTGGTTAGTTACCGTACCTGATACTCGTAGGTCTGCACAACCTCAGCTTCAGCCTCAGCCACAGCCACCTCAAGTGAACCACCACCACCCAAGGCAATCTCCGCCTCCACACCAGTGGCCACAACTGCAGCTGGAATATGCCCGAATGCTCCCGATTCTGGATTTCCTGCATCGTTGAACCTCACAATATCATTCTGCTGATGCTGAACGTACATCTGTTGTTGCTGTTGATGCAGTTGTTGAACGTACATCTGTTGTTGTTGTTGTTGCTGCAGTTGCTGAACGTACAATTGTTGCTGCTGCTGCTCGTGAGCAGGAGCCATAGCTGCATTCATCTGCAGCTGAGGCTCCTGGATCACGGCGAGCTGCTGCCCAGCCGCTTGGTTGAAATTGAAGCTGTGTGGCTGCATGGCGGCGGCTGGGCCGATGTAGGTGGCGAGCTCCTGGCGGGCCCGATCTATCTCTTGGTGGACTTGGCGGAGATGGTGTTGGAGAAGGGAGACGAGGCCCACACAGCCGTAGATTGGGTCCTTGATGCGGCACTCTGCCTCATAAGCGAGTGAGTTCACGGCCTCGTTTCTCTGCCCTCCGGGGCTGAGCTCGTTTAGGATCTTGCCCACGTTGCTTGCGCCGAACACCTTGTGGACGTTGATGAACTTCTGAGGGTTGTCGGGTGGGAAGTAAGGGGCGAAAACGCAACCCTGAGTGCATTTTCGCCGGAGGTACTTGCAGGCGGCGCACGGCGCGTAAGATGACGAGGACATCTTGTCGACTGGCCACAACATGATGATGTCATGATGATGATGATGAGGATGATAATAATGATGATGATTACATCATAACACAAGGAATTGATATTGGAAATTGCGGATTAATTAATTGATGATTACAATATCACAACAGAAAAGGAATTGAGATTGATGGAAATTGCTATAGTTGAAAGAAAATATATGCATGCATGTTAATCAATCAGGAGAAAACATGAAGAAAATGAAAACCTCGACCTGTTTGAATTGGATGCAATTAAGAAGATTAAAGAAAATCCTTGATAATTGCGTAGTATTGAATAAACTTCATTATATTTGAATTTGAAGGATTCATTGTTTAAAATGAAAACGAGATCTTTCCTAATCATCATCGAACAAACTTCATTTCACAAAGGAAAAACAAAAAATTAACGAGAAAATGAATTGAAGCCTCAAGAGCTTCATCGATTGGCTCACATTATTATTATTATTCAATTATGCGCAATAAGAAGAAATAACTTACTTAACATGCATTTATCATTTGATCGCCAGAAAAATAAAAAAAACAAAACAAACAAACAAAAAAAGAAATGATGAGAGAAATAAAAATCAACCTTTGGTTTAGGAGACATTGTGCAAATCAAAACAACAAAGTTTATACGTTTGTAATCAATGTCCAAAAAAAACTGATAGATATTATATCGAACCTGATTTTCTTCGCAAAAATCTGATCGGAGGAAACCCAGCTTTTCCCGAGTCTTCGGCGGAGGATTGATGCAAAGAATATGTTTCCTAATTGAATTAGGTTTCTCTGATTAGGGAATATTAAATATATTATTGCTTGGGAAAAAAAGCACTTTAAAATAAAATTAATTTTAGGCAGTAGATATGGCCAATGGGCCAAGTCTGTTAAAATAATATTACGAAAAATTTTTGTAAT